TTCTGCTGAGATCTCTGAGAAAGGAGGAGGATTCTTCAAGTAACAGTGAGGGTCTGCAGAGACTGGGAGGAGGGACTAGTTCTGGGGACTAGTTCAAAGGTTCCACCAATAATCATTCCTTTAACTCAAATTATAAAGGGACACCTTCTGTATGTGAAGATCTGAGAATCAGATCCTGCTTCTAACCTTTTCTGGACCTTAGGGAAAACTGGTATATAATTGTTTAAATAAAACATACCTTAAGTGTATGCATAATCACAGGAAGCAGGTTGGCAGATGGCTTCACTTCTGCCATTGTCAAACTAGTAGTTGTTTAACTTTACAATTTCAGTATTTGTAGTGTGCCATTTAAGTGATAGATATCTTGTTTTACCACTGAATGTGTTAGTGTCTTTCATCTGTCAATCATTATATAAAATTGAGCTAGTTTCATTAAAGACTGAAAGTTGTTTCCGTGACATAGATATTTCATATTCCCCAAGCCCAGTTTAATAGGTCTTGAGTCTATGAACAGCACTTTTTAAGCCAAAGTTTACAATTATGGGAAATTTATGTGCAGTTGAACTTTTTTCCCCCCCCCTCCCATAAACTCTGTATCATCAGCTGTCGTGGACTGGGTTGTACAAAACTGGCAGGGCCATCACTACTATGAGCTCCCAAGTATTTTGCGTAGTCCTGAGAATGAAGCTGCTCATTTAAGTAAGGTTGTATAGTTTACTGAAAGGTTCGTTTCTCAGAAAGAATTTTAGTAGTCAGGTTTTTTTTGTACACTGGATTCTATTTTAGAATGATAATTTCAGACAAAATCCGAAGTAACTTACATTTTTAAACTAAGTTACTTAGCTGTCTACACCAGGGTTTGAAAGGTTGTCAGGTTTTTAGGAAGCGATGCCAGATCAACCAAAGTATTGGGAAGATTCTTATTAATAAATGTAGACTTCAGATTAGGGCTGTAGTTTTGTTGGTAACTTTATTTGTAACAGCAAAACTTTGCATGCATAAAGTAGTGTCTGCAAAAAATAAAGACCCTTTGGAAATGGAAACTGTAGATGTGGCTATGTATTGAAATTATAATAAGTAGTCTTGAATGTACTCTGCAAATTTCAACACCCCTTCTTTCTCATTCACACAGTGTACACAACTATACCCCCAAGGTTGGAGAGATTGATACAAGGAGAGCCATTCGCCAGGCATTTGACGTTTGGCAGAGAGTGACACCACTTACCTTTGAAGAGGTCCCTTACCACGAAATTAAAAATGACAGAAAGGAGGCAGATATTATGATATTCTTTGCTTCTGGTTTCCATGGAGACAGTTCTCCGTTTGATGGAGAAGGTGGATTCCTAGCTCATGCTTACTTTCCTGGACCAGGAATAGGAGGAGATACTCACTTCGATTCAGATGAGCCATGGACCCTGGGAAATTCTAATCATGATGGTAAGAGTGCAGGTCATTTTTTAAAACAGGGATAAGTTGAGTGTAGACACATTGACAGGCTTTCAAGTAGAAGGTATTTGGTTAGTGGAGCTTTCGCCTCCCGTACAATGGTTCAAATGTTTTCTAAAACATGTATTCTATCTTAAATGGGTAGATAATTTTATTAGTAAGTTTGTGACTCTGCATGCCTCTGTGCACACGTGTGAATGTTGAGGAGTGAACAGAAGTGTGTGTCTGCTGGCTTTTTAAATCTCTCAAGATTTTGACCATAGTTGCTCCAGAAACCATGGCTCTGGGAGGGAAAAGGTGAACAAGAGAGTGTTGAAATGTAAGCTCCGTATCTTGTGGAATACTTAACAAGGGCAATTGGAGTTAGTTGTAAGGGTAAATAGGAAGTTGAGAGTGTGAAGACATTTGAATGTCAAGTCGTTTTGATCCATATTTGTTTTCCCACAGTCTAAGTATGGTCATAATTCCTCCCATCAGAGGTTGGAGCTGGCTGATTTATTAAGGAAGACTGATGATTTGGACAACTGTTTTGTGGTATCAGGCAATGAAGAGTTTCTGCGTCTTTCTAGCTTTATCTTACTCTCTAATGGCAATGAGCACTTTCTGATCTATTTTAAAACCTTTGATTGAGGATGGTGATGACTTGTAAAAGGTTTAAGTTGGAAAACCGGAATTTTACAGTGGCCTCATAAAATCATTCCAATTTCCACAGTCTTAGTGATTTGGGAAGGACAATGTGTCTTTAAACCTTTTGGGATCCAAAATCATTTTGAAACATTTTACAAGGATTAGAAGTTTACTTGGAATGTAAATATGGCTTGATTTTTAAACTGTATAAAAAACATAGTAGCATTGTTGTGGCCATCACGTCTAAGGATGTATGCAGAGGTACGGTCTTTCATTAGACCAAACAGTGTAGTTTGAAAAGGAGAAAAGCTTTCAGGCATGCAAACCACCTTCAGGCCTGACCTAAGAGTGACAGTTTTCTTTCAGAATGGAATGCAAATTGAGAAAATCCCTTGGAGTTTTGAGTCGGTATATATTGGATCATCTTTGAAAGGAAATGGAGCTGGCAAGTTCAATGTGGGAATGTTAATTTGTAGGAAAGCAGAAATGATATGATACTTAAAGTAACATTTCCTGGCATGTTTCAGTGACTAGATTAGATGTAGGCAGAAAAGGAGAGAGGTTATAGCCTGTGGGATGTGGAGGGGGGATAGTGTGGAGAGTGTGGGAGGTAATGGTGTGGCAGAGAAGCACAGTCTTGCTATCTTGAAATGTTACGGGTTTTTATTCCTAGGTTTGTGGCTGGAGGGCAGTTTATAGGTTTTCCTTGAGGATGAGGATTGACAATCAGAGACTGAGTCATTACCTTGTGAGAGCTGCTTTTGCAGCAGTTAGTGTTTGTCAGTTTATCAGTGGTCTGTGCGAGTTCAGTCTGGTCTTAGTAGTTATTTGATCTCAACTATGGGGTGTGAGGGTGGCTTGTGTGCTGGATATGACTTCCCAGGTAAACCCATGTATGAGACCTGGGAGTGCTGGTGTCTGGGATAGAAAGTCCTTACGGGAAGGTGGAAGGGAAGGTTTTGACAAATGGTACTTGTTTTTTTTCTTTTCTCCTTTTCTGCACAAAAAGCTTCCTTCTGATGATAAGCTTAGCAAGGTTGGGAGGAGCTTAAAGACTGGCAGAGGTGGCTCTGGGGAAAATTTTCCACTGGGTAGGATGTTCTAACATAGATTATCACTTTTTGGGGGTTTTTTTTGTATATTTTTTAAGATGGTGTTTGACAGCAATGTATACAATGAGTAGAGGGTCTCTTTTTTTTATAAAAGCTATTCCTTATGCAGTATCCATGTAGCCCTTTCAAAAACATGATGTATTTCTCTAGTGTGCTGAGTGACTGTTATGAGTAGTGTCCTCAAAGTGCACGTAATTGGCATTTGAGGGGCTGGTGTGCACTCCGAGTGTGAAAATTGATAGAATAGTTGAGATTTCCATTCCGGAGGGTAAATGTCATTTGTGTATTTGTTTTCAAATTACCGTGCCGCATAGACTGGGTGGCACGGTTGTTTGAAAACTCTTTTAAAAAAGTCAGCAGTGAGTCTGTTGAGAATGGTGGGGTCATATTTCTCCCCTCCACCTGGGGGAAGTGCTGATGATAGAAAGGGAATTTCATGTGTTGAGGATGACAGGGCTAAGCCTGTAGTCAGAGCATTATAGATGTGAGTGGTAAATGCAAGGAATTTGGTTTTGCCTGTGTTCTTAGCTTTTGAATGCAAATGTGAAAATATCCTGTCTCCTCACTGGGTGGTCCAGGCCTTTTTAGGAGGGTTTTTCCTTCTGTTTCACTATTTCTTGTCATTGGAGCTCTCGCTAGCTCCATGTTCTTACCTCTGATGTGTTTTACTTGAAATGCTGGTAGCAGGTCTTAAAGAGTTTCTTCTTGGTCAGAGGTTTCCTGCACTGTGATCAGTTCACTGCCTTTTTTCATTGGAAATAAGGTGTTAGTGAGGACAATATTGTCTTTTTAACAGGAAATATTTCTTCAAACATGGTCTTGCTTGTCCTAATGATATGTATTTGGGGGCAATGGGGTTGTTCAGTCCGGAACTGAAGAAGTCTCTCAGTGGAAGAATAAAAATACCCTACCAGTAGATCAGTAGCAAAGCTCTCATTTATTCATATGCAAAAAAGGAACTGTTTTGGCCATTTAGCATGGATTCAATGATTATAGAAATCTTAAAATAGCCATGAAGTAACAATAGTATTTTTACATCAACCTGCAAAACATCACCATGTAAAACATTCCATTCCTGACAAGAATGTGTATTAGTTGAAGGGAAAATTTGAATAATTTGACTCAAAGCTCTCTTATCCTTTCAACGGTTGTAAAGGTAAATCTCTGGTCAACAGAGCAGGATGCTGAAACTGGCACCATAGGTCCTCAGAATGTTTGGCTGATCTATTTGGTCCATATAGTTTTGTTACAAACCAGTACGATCTGAAGCTTTGCTTTTGTTGGTCTGCGTTTGTCTTACTGTGTTGTGGCATCTGAAGAGTTTCAGTAAGTTTGGATGCAGCTGTCACCCCACAAAACAACTGTTTTGGAGTCTTCACTAGTAGTGCAAGTTATATGGATAAAAGCGAAACATTTCACATGAAGTCTCGTCTAGTCAGAAGAAATGAAGATTTGAACAGATCTTTCTATGAAAACAGCCATCTCCGATTTGTACATGGAGAACGTGATATATCCTGTTGATGGAAGTCTCTATCTTGTAGATATACCTTGTGGTAATCCGCTAGGGTTCATTAGCAATTTTATCACACTAGCTAGTGGATAGTTAGTTGGATTTATATACTCATTATCATTTTGCGTGATCATTATTATGCTGATTTTGCCCCTTGTGGACAGTATGACCATTACCACGTCTCTTAAAATTATTAGTGTAATCATAATAGCTATGATGCTGTGGGTTGTCTTTCTGAGACTGTGGTAATAGGGTCACGTGTACCAACACTTCTGTTATCTTCTGCTGTGAAGAATGATCCTGCATAAGGCTTTCAAAGTGAATGCAGAGTTTCCCTCTCCCTGGATATTAGTTACAGTTCCACTCACACATACAATTCCTTTAGCCGAGTAATACTGTACTTTCAATTCATGATTGCTGATTTATCATCTTAATTGTACTGCCTTCTCCAACTGCAAGCTGTGGAAGATTAATTTAGATAATATTATGACGAGGATGTGCAAAACCAGGTAGGAAGTTGAACTCCTGGAGCAGTCCTTATTAACTGGGATCACGGGATACAGAATTCATTTTTTAATTTTTCAGATGAGAATGTCAGTGGGAGCAGCTAGAAGCATGAAGCAGAATATTGGAATTCAGAAGGATCAAGGCAAATCAGAGAAGTGATATGGCAAACAGGATTCAACTGAAAAAAGAGTAGCAGTGTGGTTTTACATTTAGAGATAAATCATCTACACAATGAGGAGCAACTGGCATGGTTGCAGTTGCGGGGACTTATCTCATGTTTTTCCTGGAAGGTGCTCCCCAATAGAATTGAAGCAGCTCTTGGCCTTTAGCTTATCCCAGACTTGTAGCGCCAAGGGCTACGGCTTATTAGACTTCGATGTATGGGCACTTGAAGGCAATTGAAGCTGTTTTTGAAGTCATTGTCTTTTAGCGGTACATTGTGTGTAGCTGCTCGCAGGCCAAGTGGCCCCTCTTGGCTGCCTAGACACAGCGTTTGGTCACTGAGTTACGTGTCAATGCAGGCAGTCTCAGTATCCCAATTGCTTGCATTACCAGAAGGGACACCAAAGGTGACTTTGCTCTACTTTCTCAAGTCTTGGTCTGTTTTTACTTGAAATATGCTGTAGAAACAGCCAAGCAAACTTTAAACTGCGCATCTCAAGACTCACAGCCACTGACGTATGTAGCTCGCTGTAGGCAGCAAAGCCTGTGCCTGAAAGAGGGTAAACAGACTTGGCTGTGCTGCGATCTCTCTCCCTTGGCTGCCTCAGTATCTTACCTAACTTGGCTCAAGCATAGAGGTACTGCATGAAATCCATTATTAACTGGCCAAATCAAGTGTTTCCTAGCCTTTATATGAAAATAATAATTATATATGTATGTATCTCCAACAATAGGTTGAAAAGGAATTCTGAGTGGCTGAAAGTCAGTTCTGTCAGTTTAAATATCCATGTTACATGTGACTGCTCTTAACACCCCTCTGACAACTCAAACATTTGTTTAATCCGGGTTAATTACAGGAAGTAAATCTTAATCTTCAGTTTAACATTTCAAATAGTATCAATAATAATCCCAGGCAAATCTTCTTCATGGTCTTTTAAAAGTAAAAGACCATTGCTGTTATGCATGTTGTCAACACCGTACCACTAAATATGTGGTGTCTACCAACCCACTGCAGATACTAGCTTTATAGCTGTATAGAGCTATTAGCTATATTCCTCTGTTGGTAGGGACAA